CAGCTTTTCACAGAAACCCCCCTGCAGCCCCCAGCTACCAACACCTCGGCACACAACCCCATACAAAGTTACACTGAAAAGCCTCTTAGAGGTGAAAACGATTCTATCGAGCGCTCTCGTGCGGAGTTGCGCACACCTACGGAGACACGTAAGGAGCACCAACATCACGTAACACTGCTCCAACCTGCCGGAGGCTTACCTTGCTATACTGCTGATGGCACTGCTCGGAGTTACCTTTGGCACTCTGTCCATGCTGGCAGCAACTGTGGCAAGTTTTAAGGCTGTTGGCGACGGTGCTGAAGTCCTTGTATTGATATGCACATTGACTGGAGAAACAACACTGACATTGTTGAGGTGCACTGCATTGGTCAGGCAAGAATTGTTCATGGGAAGCGTCTGAGGGCTGCTCGTGCACAATGCTGGAATTAAGTGGTTTGTGGTGGTGTGGCCAACTGTCCTTACAAGCTGTACAGTTGAAATCCCTGGGCTGGATGATAAAGCCATGTTGGTGGAGTACAAAGTTCTGGAGGTTCCTGTTACAAAACCAGATGTCGTTAGTTAAAAATAATGTAATTTCTTAGATTCAAAGCCAAAGATTAACCTCAGGGGTAATGTTTTAAGTATTTAGGTCCCTGGAATGGTGCAAGCATCTGTTTTTTAAAGATTCACAAAATGTAGTATTTTAGAAATATTTTTTCTGGTTTTTTTTAATTACAGGAACATCAGAAAGTGAAAGAAGTTACTGTATGACAAACTACTGTATTGCCCAACTTTGTACACCTCGTTTTAGCTGCCTTAAATTAAAGGGACAGCATTCCCCATAAAAGTAAACTGGATGGAGAACACCTCCCCTAGGCAACCTCTGAGCGCGACTGCGAAGCCAAGCTCCGAGGCTCTGATCACCTCACCTCCTCCCTTGTTCTGCTGGCAATGTACAGAGGTTCTGGGAACCAGCCTTCCTGAAGGCAGCAGAACTAGGGGTCTAGGACTAGGCAAAGCAGAAAACTCCATTCAGATTACGCTGCAGCGCTCAGTTTGCACTCCTGAGCTGTGAGAAACTCCAGGTGTCACCGTCCATTCAAACCAGAGGCTCTCAAATTTCAGCGGGGCAGCCTAGCTATTCACTGCTCTGATGTTATCACAGAGGAAGAAGCTACATTTTCCCCTAGATTCTTATTCCTGAGAAACAACCTGTTTTCAGCTAACATCTCCTCATTTACAAACCATGAACAGGAATAGCTGTTTTCCATCAATGCCACGTACACCTTTAGAATCGTAGCAAAGGTCTAATTTTGCAAGCACAGTATTTTCCATGGTTTCCAATCGTAAAGATGGGTACCACGTATCGGCACGACACACTACTGATCTGACACCCCTCCAGACGTTCGCCTCTCAGATAGAGAGTTATAAATATCTTTGTGTTTCCTGGAACGGATTTTATTCAGTTTTGGTTTTTTTTCTCCTGCCTGCTCATTTCGTATTATCATTAACCCAGCCTGGTAGAAGGTCTCAACAGCTCATGGTGTGATTTGTTGTAAAAGCAACAAATTAATCTAAAAGCCTTTTATTTGTTATAGCAGTCAAATTCCAAATAACGTGTCTCTTGGCAACATGGCTCCTGCACCAGCATGGCTGGTAATGGGGTGCAGAGGGAGGGGGAAGGAACCCAACATCTACACTCCTGCCTCAGTTTGGGAGGAATCCTACACGCAGTCAAATCTGAAACGCGCAGTAATGCCAAAGAATTGCGTGAAGTAGCTGATTAGTGTGTTTTTGTCTGAATATGCAAGTGAGATAACGACCAAATAATGCAGCAACTTAACTATTTCCTTCTCAAAGCACTTAATGTCTTAATTGATTTTTATTCATTACACATTCATGCTGTTTTTACAATGCCATCATGCTTTTGATCATAACAGATTAGTAAAAGATAAAAACCTACAAAAGAAAACAGAAACAATGCTCTGCCAACCTACAAGAGCATTTGGTAGTTTTACTGCCACACTAACCTACATGCCAGCACAGAAGTGTTTTAAAGAACAATACTTAAACCAATTAAAATATATTTGACTTTTTTTACTAAGCAGTATTTTAGAAATCAGAAATTAGTTGACATATTCTCAGCTCATACTGAACCACGAGTTTTAAGAAATCATCACCTGAAGGCTGCACCACACCATTGATATTGTTGTGGCTGGTGTTCTGTTCCTTCGTTACCTCACTGCGACTAGGAGCGGGTGCACTGACCACTGCAGATGCAGCAAAGTGGGCGCTGGCTGAATCGAGGGTTTTTGACATACAGTCAGAGGTGCTGGAGCCCTGTGGGAGTACAGAGAAAGAAATTTATTTCTGTATAATTATCCAAGTACAAAATTAAATACCACATTAGGTTTGCTATCGTGCGCAATTACCAGCAAACAAATGTGTCTTCTAAATGTAATCTAATGCACTGTAACATTAAATATTTCCGTATCACAGGTCAGATGACAAGTTGAAAATTAGCGTCCAAGTGTGTTGAGTAAGTTCTGCTCAATTCAGGCGGTCAATGGCCAATGCAGTTCCTAGCACGACAGATCACTTCCATGGTGGGTTGTTCAGCCTGGAGAAGAGAAGCCTCCAGGAAGACCTTAGAGTGGCCTTCTAGTACTTAAAGGGGGCCTACAAGAAAGACGGGAAGGGACTCTATCAGGGAGTGTAGCAATAGGACGAGGAATAGTGATTTTAAGCTGAAAGAGGGAAGATTGAGATTGGACATCAGGAAGGAATGCTTCCCGTAGAGGATGGGGAGGCACTGGGACAGGTTGCCCAGAGAAGCTGTGGATGCCCCATCCCTGGAAGTGTCCAAGGCCAGGCTGGATGAGGCTTGGAGCAACCTGGGCTATAGAAGGTGTCCCTGTGCCCATGGCAGGGGGGGGGACTGGGGGGAATTTAAGGTTCCTGCCAACCCAAACCACTCTAGGGCTCTATGTGTTTGAGAAGTTCTCTCTAAGAAAACAACTATGCCTTAAGTTTCCTTCTCTCTTCTGTTTCCAGGCAGCAAATACACAGCAACCTCAAGTCTAAAGGATTTCCAGTATTTATGGTACATTCACTCTCCCAGAGTCACTTCTACCACAGCATAATTGTTCACTGCATCCTGGAAGCACATATCTGCTATTGGTCCAGTTTGTCTGAATGAATGGTAAGTACTGGAAAGACATCCTGAAACGGCTGAACGTATCATTCCACAATTTCAGTTTATGTTAACTAAGAAAATTACTTTCTATAGACATTCAGAGCATCTTTGAAATCCAAAACTCACTCCTTTTGTTAAAATATTCTGGTATCATGTCTTTACACTTACAAAAAATGTAATCAGTAACCGTCAATACAGAATCCCTGACTAACTAAAGCAGAAAACACTGAGGTGAAGGGACAAACAGCACTGTTCGTTAGATATTATATGCACAAAGTAAAGTAAGTTTTCCTAGTAACAGCCAACAGCAACAGCTTTTATATTTTTTTGGTAAGAAATCAACAGAAAAGCATGTATTCTCCTCTTGCAAGGTGTTACAGAGAAGTGTGGTCCCTTTAGAAGACAGGAGTAGTAACACTAGGGATGGAGAAAGGGAAGGAATCAAATCAAATAAGCAGAACTACCCTTTTCCTCTCCCACAGTTCCCATTTTTGAGAACTCACTGAACACCTGCGCATAACAGAATGCGTTACCTCATAATAAAGAAACCTCTTTGGAGCACTTACACAAGGCGGGATAAAGCCAGTGAAAACATCATGACGTGACAGGGCACTGGGTATTTCTACACTGACCAACCTGGGGACACAACTAACACGTTAAAACACCAAGTCTCTTACTCAACTTCTAAATGCAGCCATGATGTGTAACTTCAAAAAAACCCAACAGGCTTTGACATTGAAACGTAGAATGTTATCTCCCTCCGAACAGAAAAATGAAAAGCAGGGTACCTGCACTAGCTACAGCATAGGTGCCTTCCAGGCACTACACAGCAAACTGCAAAAGCCTCTGGACCAAAATCCATCCTACATTTGCTCTAAATTCTACCGTATTTAATGAGGTGTTACAGTTAGCTTGCACAAGATGAAAACACACAGTAAGCAAAAAGGAAGCTATCAGCGTATGACAACATTTCAGGTGCATTACCTGTGCTTTCGGATGTGTCTGTTGTGAGGAATGCTGAGATTGCTGTTTCTGCTGGAGCTGAGCCAGTTGTTGCCTCTGCATTTGTACTAACTGCTGTTGATGTGTCTGAAATTGTTCCTCCGTGATACCCCCTGTTACTACAGAAAAGAAAGTGAAGGTAGCATTAAATAAGCCTGCACAAAACGAACATCTAAACTTCAAGAGTGCATCTGTGTTGGGTAACAAGTAGTTGAAGACAACACACGCTCTGTTAGATGCTTGCAAAAATCTTCACATCTCCTTGAAGAGAATATAGATATATTATGTATATGGAGGGGTCAGGCTAAATGTTTGTTGTGTTCTTTTCGCACCAAATCAATTTATAACGTGGGTTTCTCTGCAGCAGCTTTAAGCAAAAGCTTCGAGAAATTCTTTTCCCGGTTTTCAGAAAACAAGCATGTCCCAGAAATCACAGCTGATGAAGTCCACTGGGCTGAGCTGGGTGTCTCCTCTCCCAGTATGCACTGTCGGTTTGATCCTGTACCACTTCCTTTCCTACAGTCCCTTATTATTGTCCTGTTCTCTGACACCAGAATGACTAAGTTCTTCACCTACTTGACCAGCACAAGCACAGTTCATATATATGAATAGTTTGTACACAGCTCCATCCCAAACCTCGCTTGAAAGGACTATCAACTAATACACAACGACAGAGCCAACCTGCAGGTCTGAAACTGAGAGGTTGTGAATATCACAAACCTCTGTTTATTCAGCAAATCCAGTCCCACCTTCCTACTGCACGTTCTAGTTTTCCCTGAGGTAAACGCTTAAGTTATGCCTGAACAGGCTTTTCTCTGCCAGTTATTATTTAAAAAAAAGTGCAATAATAGTTTAAGGGTGACATAGTCTGTTCATTTATTTGTGAGAAGCAGGTTAATGCAGCCCCACTAGGCTGGTTGTCTCCACAAGGGAAGGGAACGGTGAGTTAGAGAAGCTGCTCTCAGCATTCTCCCCCTGAAGGACTGCACGCTTGGTAATGCTGAATACTTGACAGAATTTTCCATGTAAAGCCTGAGTTTTGTGCAGCTGGTGCTAAGCCAAGAACTATCTTCTCCTAGGAAGAAGTAAAACCAGAATCCACTTTTCAAAGATTCCCATTAACCACATTCCAGACATCTGTTCTGTGTTTTTCAAAGACGGATGCTGTCATTCATTTCTAACACTTAGATTCTGCAGGAATATTACCTTATCAGGAGACACTAACCCAACATTAAAATACGGTCTGGCTCCTTTGTTTACTTGTTGTAATACTCACGGTTGCCCTAAAATTCCACCCTGAGTAAATACCAAAACTAAGACTGAGAGTGTTTAGAAGTTAGTACTGAAACTTCTTTGCATTATTAAAACAGGCTTCAAGCACTTTAGGAGGGCACTGAAAAATCCAATGACTTACACCGTTACTCCCATTAGACTCTAGGGTTATCATCATCATTTCCAACAGCTTCTAAAGCCAGATTTATTTCATGCTTAACTGTACTTGTGTTCCTCTTGAAGATTCCCACCTATTATTACAAGCATTTAACTCAAAGTTCAGTCAGCTAAACCTGTGAGGTTCCCTCAGTCTCCCAAAACGTGTTGCATTACTGAAGACAACAGAGCCAAGAACAGCATTACGGAACATTACATACATATGCATTTCTATTTTTAAGTTCTGAGGTAACAAATTCCAGAACATGTCTTTTGTTTGATAAAAGACCCCAGTGTTTTAGAACAAGCTTAATGTGGCCCAAAGAAATACCCAAGTTCAGCTGTGATTAGCTATTATTTGCCTGCAGCACGGGGGTATATATGTACATCTAAACTCAGAGTTGCACTCTTCTATGGACTGGAAAGACGTAATACAGCAAGTCTCAATGTCAGCGCATCGTCTGATTCAGCCCACGTATCAACTCTCTGCTTTCAGTCTCCCTTCATCCCCCGTCCGACACAGACCACGAAGGCAGGAAACGCTATTACAAGGCAGAGGGAAGATTAGCGCAGTAACGCCCTAATGGCTTACTCTGCCTTGGCGTGTTTACATTCCGCTCCGCTCACTACCTATCCACCAGCTACTTATTCCGCAGTCAGACCGAACTCAGCCATTAGCCCTGGTATGAACCAGCAGATGTTCATTAGCACATTTCATATCATTTGCTCCTGCCAACTCAAACAACTGAAAAACCCCACACCTCTACACTCTCCCAGGGTAGCCCTCAAGGTCACAGTTAAGTGCAAGTGTTCCATACCTCTCATAAAAGGTTCTGTTTACCAGAATCTTAGCTTCCACTGCCGTGTATCAGTATTTTCTATTTACTATAGCCCAATTGTAGTGAAATACCACAACAGGACAGGGTAAAAAGTCAACATAAATTAAGACTTCCAGACTCCTCTCCTCCTTGACAGCTATAGTTTGGATTATTATGTCACTTCTCTTAGGATCTGAAGGGTTTAATCAAAGATCATCTTTCAGGCCACCCCAAAAGTGGCATTTCATTAATCTAATTCTTCTACATGGTATTTAATTCTGGGAAAAGATACCCCTAGAAGGTAAAAGCTTGTCCCATAAGCAAAATTCTTCAGCCGAGAATGCCACTGTTTCCAGCTGCCTTCAGTTACCGTGTCCCAAGACACAAAACGGGTCACCGGCACTGGCAGCTGAAGCAGACGAAGCCAAATGCAACATACTGACCATACTGCAAATGGCTGAAGCCCTTGCCTGAAGCCTCTTTCTTTCTTAAGTCCTCAAAGCGAGACGAGTTGCACTCCAGAAATTCAGCAAGCGGGTTATTACTTAGCTGTGTGAAGGAGTACAACCTACAAATCCCTGGTAAGTTCCTTCCTCCACCATCTTTCCTGGTGATGAGTTGTATCCCCAGCTCACCCGTTTATCTCATTTTAGACTAAAGAGAGAATTCTTCTGGAAGTGTCAAAGAGACCAGCTTACTTTTCCAGATATAGTGTGTAAGCCTACAAAAAGTTTACACAACTGATCAAAGGGATCAGTGACCTTGTCTCTTAAAGATCCTCAAATCCAGTTTTCCCGTTTGCAGTTCTTATAACATGAGCAAGAGAGTAATTCAGCTTGAAACAGTGATTCTTTATTCATGCACTGATGAGGCACTTTCAGGAAAAGACCAGTCACACACTTTAAAAATATGTCTGGCGTTCTGTGTGCACAGTGCTGGGCATTTGAGAAAACACCACAGTTGAGTTGCTTTATTAATACAAGTGAAAAATATAATGCAAAGGTATCTTGAAATGTTCTTGTGCATCAGAAACCAAAGGAAGCAACTCCAAGTCTTCTCTAAAAGAAAAGAATAAGCCCAAACCAATCAGTTTAACTACTGGCATTGTTTCCTCTAGAGGTAGCTTGATGCCTACAGGCAAGTGTGCTACAAACCCAACTGATTTCAACAATCATCTCCCAAACAGATTTACTTTCATAAACTCAGTACCTGTGCTGATTTAACACACAACCAGACTTGGACCAGCCCCTCTAAGACTTACTCGATATTTACTAAGGAGCGCATCTACCAGCAGTGCCTCTTGCTAGCTCAGCTATTCGGTGAAGGCTTCCGCTGCCTACTGCATCTGACCCTTTACCAGACTGAAAGGATCTGTTTTGTCATGTAAATCTGGCAAGAAAAAGGTCTTCCATAACCATAAATTTCCTCACATAATGCACTTAACTGAGTGATCTCTGTTCTAATCTAAATATGTAATTTCGGAAGTCACTGAAGAATTCAACGCATGTTGATTACTATTCTTCTACAAAGTGGCTTAGATCCATCAGATTTGGGTTTATGCATTTTTTCTTTTTAGGTATTTCTCTACAGTCTTTCCCATCATTCAAATGTGAATTTCTCTGTCCTCTTCCTTTAGTTCTCCTTCCCTAATGGTGCAAATCCTGAAGTACATGGGTTCCAGTCCACATCAGGCCTGTCACTGACTTGCCATGTACCACCAACAGTTCAGGGGTTTTATTCCTATGGATGGTGTTACCTCAGTCAGGAAGGGCTGACATTTTTCTTTTCTGTATCCCCAGTTCCCTAACAAAAGACAACACCCCCCCCCTTCCCTAAATATACTGCTTGAACACTGTCCTCTTTTTTGTTTTCTTATTGTGTGCCATGTCTCCTCCAGCTACTGGACTTCTCTTCCACTGCTGGAATCTTCATTTATACTAATGCCAGGTACAGAAATTTCACAAATCTCTTCAACATTTTCCCCTCACTTTTTTATTTTTGTAGACTTCACCCTCAGGGGGGAAAAAAAAAAGTCTCCCTGGAGTAGAATTCAAAGCCTCAAAGTTTTACATCTAGCTAATCCTTAAATAACAAATTGATTTTTTTATATAATCATGAAAAATTCTACAGAAAAAAACCGACCCCAACTTAACCTGTATCTTTTTAAGCAGCTTTGTTTACCGTGGTGTCACCACACTTTGTTCCTGCAAACAGAAATCCTGCACTACCACTTGCTCTTCTTACATAAAGAGCTACTGGCAAATTCTTCACTGTTCCTCACAGCTTATGGGCCACGTTCCCCATCCTTACCCCTGACAGACAGAATTCCTTTCTATTTTCTGCACTTGCTTTAACCCAATATCTCTTGCTGCTCATCCGTAATCCCATCCCACGAAACTGCCCCTTTCTGCACCGGTGCAACTCTCCCACCCTTCCAGCTCCTTGCACAGAATACGACCGGAGCGCATTATGCCTGTTCTCTTCGTACAGCAGAAAAATAGTCTTGTGCAAATCTTCTCATGAGCGAGAGAACAATAAGGGTTGCGATGACTACACTGAGAAGTTATGAAAGTCAGTATTCTGCACTTCTGTCCGTCCTGCACCGACGTTACCGAATAAGCTAATGCGCCGTCTTTGGAAACCATAACATAGGGAAAACTGCTCCTGCCTTCAAGGAATTTGAATCTCCACCCATGAATTCTAAAGGTATGTTATCAAAGATTAAATACCCAGTCCCGCAAACCGAATTTAAAAGAGACGGGCACATGTGTCTGAAGTTAATTATGGAATTTAGAATTGGCCTATTATATTATGTAATTGTGCTGCTTTACAATACCTAATTCTGTATCTACACAACAGAGTAGGAAAACACTCAGTTGATGCTCGGCAGTAGATCTCTTTTGACACATCTCCACTGGTTCAGCTTTTCAAAGGATCATACGCCCTTTCACAATTACAGAGAAGTGACAATGTTAAAACTTAAGCAATTACAGCTCCTAGTGCAGGAAGAAAATGATGTGAAGGCTGCTAATATAAAAAAGCAATTTTTTCTTTTGGGGCCTTTTGTTCCAGCTTTAGTGCTTCTGTGCCCAAATCGCTAACAAAGGGTCTACAACGATCAGAAGTACTGCGTGTATTTTATATTCTTATGGAAACACTACACAAAACTTCGTTTTTTTTTTTTTAAATGTAAACCCATTTATATGTGAATGGCTCTCTTGCTCACCCTCAGCTGTAAGAAAAGCAAACATCAACAACAAAGAGGACACCTCCCCACCCCCCCCCAGGAAAGCAACTGCTGCTCTTCTGCACTTATGAAGAGCATTCTTCTCTCCTTAAACAAGGTTAGGCCGATCAAAGTCTTCAAGATTCAATCACACCTAAGCAATTCTTAAATACAAGTAGAATCCCTCCTTTGGATAATGCATATTTATCAAGATTCTGTTGAAATGGGACTTCAGGTGCTGAAACATAAGTAGGAGGAAGAGGACTGCTTGTGGGAAATATCTGCGTGCTCCAAGAAACGCAAACCAATTAGCTTGTACCTTTGGTTTAGGTACACGTCGCTGCTGAAGACTGTATTAGCCCAGTCGCAAGTCAAACCACTGGAATTCAGTATTTTACGTTCCCGAAGAATTCAAATCCTTGCCTACCTGATATGCCATTCTTGCTGGTGTTCAATAAAGCTACAGATGCTGCAGAAACTCTTTTATTATTCACAGTCTGCCCTGGTTTCCTTGAGGTACATTCTTCGCTATCACTGTCCTGTAGATTTAGTAGCCTTGGCTGAAAACACTGCAGTCGACATGATCTGATATTGCTTAGGATTTCAGGAAGGGACAGTCTGTTTTCACAACGTTTATTGGAAGCATTGGTCCGTGAAAAATTAGAAGAAAAGTCTAAAGTCTGGGAAGAGCTTGAAAAACTGTTCAGCATCTCCGGGTCAATCTGTCTCAAGACAGGATCATGTTCTGTGGATATTCGGTCCATTATAACCCTGATGAAAGAGGATGGAAAAGACGTTGGCTTAACCCTTTCAAATACTCTATCCTTTGAAGGGGAATGAAGAGTGAAAACTACGCAACCGTACCTTCCACCCCTGCCAATTCGTCTTCTTGCAAATCCTATACATCTTCTTGGAATTGTAAGGGTTGTAAGGCAATGCCTGAACCTCAGTTTGTCCAATTCCGCCAATTCTGAGTTTTCACATGAAGAATTAGTTTGGTCCAAACGAGGCTGTAAAGAAAAAAGAAAGGCAAATCTACACTCAGAGCGTACACTTTGGTTACCACTAGTGATTATCATGCACAGGCTACAGCATAGAAAATGCCCACGGAACGACCACTTGATTAATATGCTCAGATCATAAAAGCACTCTGAAGATTCTTCTAAAAAACCCACACGAACTCATGAAGCAGAAAATCTCCTTTCCTTGATTAGTCATAATATCAGACACCCCAACCAAAATATGGAATAAGCCAGAATGAACTCATTCTGCCAAGAAGCACGTAAACCCGTCCTCATCAGACACAGGTCCATCTGGCCCCGTTCCTCCTGTCTGAAAAGGGCTCTTCTGGCAACTCGGCACAAGATATAAATCACAGGGAGCAATTCTTTTCTTGTTACAGCCTCTGAGCTTCAGGCTCTTAGGAGCCGAAGGACTTCCTGCAGGCAAGGCTGCATCTTGACTATGCTTTGTCATCAGTTGAGGGCCTATCCTTCTCAGGAATTTGCCTAATCCTGCTAGTAAGGGTCAGTAGCGTAAAAGCTTTCGTCTGAAAAAGTGCCAACAACCCCCATCTCGGACAGCTTGCAACCTAACAACATCAGAATGATACAGGCCGGTTGGAGCGAGTCCAGAGGAGGCCATGGAGATGCTCCAAGGGCTGGAGCACCTCTCCTATGATCGAAAGGCTGAGAGAGTTGGGAGTGTCCAGCCTGGAGAAGGCTCTGGGGAGACCTTATTGCAGCCTTCCAGTACCTGAAGGGGCTACAAGGAAGCTGGGGGGGACTTTTTCCAAGGGCCTGTAGTGACAGGACAAGGGGTAACGGGTTTAAATTGAAAGTGGGGAGGGTTAGATTAGATATCAGGAAGGAATTCTTCCCACAGAGAGTGGTGAGGCACTGGGACAGGTTGCCCAGAGAAGCTGTGGATGCCCCATCCCTGGAAATATCCAAGGCCAGGCTGGATGAGGCTTGGAGCAACCTGGCCTGGGGGAAGGGGTCCCTGCCCATGGCAGGGGGGGTGGAACTAGATGATCTTTAAGGTCCCTTCCAACCCAAACCAGTCTGTGATTCTAAGTGTGTGGGTAGTTTCAAAAGGGGCGCCTACATTTGCCGTTGTGAAACACATCCTGCCAAAGGTAACAGAGGCTGATCTGATGGGCCTTTGTTCCAGTACACAGCATTCAATTACTGGATCTTGACAGTGTGTCTTTGCTGCATCAGCTTACCTCAGGGCATTTTTATTACTCCATGAATATCTTTGTCATTATTATTATGAACTCAAAGCTGCATAAACTTTACAAGTATAAATGCTATGTGCTGTCTGAAGTGCCTTATATGGCAGGTTAATAAATATTCATTAACATAATCAATGTTTGTGATCACGTTAAACCTCCAGCAACAGTAGTGCTGTAGATTCCATCAATTTATGTGGAGTTAACCAAAATTCAAACAGCTTCAGTAATTAAGAAAAAGAACACCTTAGAAAGCTAGCATTAAGGCCGTTAAGTAACGTGCTTCTGAAGAGCAAGGGGAAAGTAACAGAGAAGAATGACAATACAAGTTTTCGATTGTCTCAACTTCTTCTGGCAAAGGAGTTGACTCATAACTAATAGAAGAGAGGTAGGATAAGTTCTAAGCAACGGAAAGGCTTCTTTAGAGCAATTAGCACTGGAGCTAATCAGAAAAGGTGACTAGGTTAGCAATCAACAGGTAGAGAAAACTTATTCTTTCCATTTGGGTGAGTTAAGAGGCCACACAAAAAACCAAAGTGACAACTGGCTCTTAAATAAGCCACTAATAAACCTCTAAAAGCAGAAGACTAGTTAAAAACGACGACATATTCTTGGGAAGATGGAGTTGCCTGCGATACTCTGGCAATGACTACAACACAGCAGGACACTGCGGAGCGGGCACCAGCAAAGAGCTTTCAGCACAACTTGTGGGAGATGCCCGTGCTATAACCTGAGCGCTGTGGGGGATGTCTGGGCTTGTGAAACAGGCTACCCAGTGACCGACCGCCTGCTCTGCCCGTGCCTTTAAAGGCTACACCATCACACAACTATTTTGGCACGTAACTTCATTCTCCCCACGGGATACAAGCAAAGCAAACCCCAACCCATTACAGCATCGTGTTGCCTTTCTTGGTCCTCCGCAGTCTGAAGCACCCCATCTATCAGCACATGCTTGGTAAAGACCTTCACTGTTGGTGGTTCGGAGATGCTGACAGGAGATCCAAGATTAGTCTCTGTCCTTGCTCATTCTTGCAACTGCAACCTAATGGCTTTCAGTGTATTTACAGTTTGCACCGTTTTCAAAAGAAAACGTTGACTTTATGAGAAAAATCGTGAACAGATGAAACCCCTCTGCTTCAATGCCCAGCAGGATCTCTCAGCAGGCTGGGAACTGGGACAACTAGTACCCAGCTAACGAGCTCGGAAGATGCACTGAGAACACTGAAGGGGAAGAAAACCCCCTCTCTGCTTAACAGCGGCTGAACTGGTCTGCTGGCCACACATTGTGTTACCTTCAGGTAATCACAAGGGAACATTTTCTTTAGATTCACCCAATCAAAGATTTGGAGGTGAAAGCGGGAACAGAAGAAATATTGCATTAGCACTCTGCCAGTCTAAACTGGAAACAGCCACCGCGCCAAATGCAACAGCAGACATGTATCTTACAGCATAATACTGGCATCCTGCTCTTCTCCTGAAAGCACAAGGTCCATCAGGATCGTTTTCTTCTTCTGCTTCCGATACTGGTGAGGGTACCTAGACCAGAAGGCAAGGTCATTCTTTCAACTGCCATGCTTACTATTAATTTAATATTATATAAACTTACATAATAAAGAACTACCACATTTATGTATTAAACACAAGCTTCTTTGAAACAGAGCTTCAAGAAAGAAAACAAACTCATCATTTACGCAAGGATCTTTATATACAACACTATCCAACAGTTACTCTCTGTTTCAAGCCAGACCGGCCAAATTAGAGGCAACTGCAATTC